GCAGCTGTGGCTACAATGTAGCTGCCATCACCAGTGGGTGAATGTGTGAATGACTGAATGTAGTGTAAAGCGCTGTACAAATACAGGCCATTTACCATTTTACTTATGATGTAAGACGGTGAGGTTAAGTCCATAACACAGCCCGTGTATTTTCACTATAATACCCGAGGTTATCAGATCATTTAAATGCCACTCTTACACAGAAACATTACAGTAAACATTCATGTTAAATCTGGAGGAATTACAGATTTATAAACATCATAAAGTGCTTCCACATTGTTCTGTAAAACATTTATACGTGTCCTTTACTGATCCATAACAGAGCTCCAACCTAGTGTGACAGGAAGCATACACATGAAGACTAGAATGAAGCTTTTTTTCATTTCTTTTAATAAGACATGATTAAAATCACCTGATATTAAGTGCGATGCCAGCAGGTGGAGTGGTGGATTGTTTGATGGCTGTGTTAAGATTGCTGTTGTGTGAGGAGAGGCAACTAGGGGTCCAGTACTGAACCTGAAAAACTGATGCAGCTCATTGGCTCGGTCCGCCTTCTCTCTGTATCTTTACACCTTCTCAGCTCCTCCTTGTTCCTAGACCTGAATATCCTTGTCTTTTCATTCAGCTTCGGGTGATGAAATGGGAGAAACGTACTGAACTCAGAGAGAAACAAGCAAGTTAGCAATCAGCCATGCTAGTATTGATCCAATACCAACAACAACATATCGATATTACCAATATTTGGATTGATCCACCCCTTACACAACTTTCAGGTGGACACAACAATAAAAAGGAGTCCCTTAAAGTTACCTTGCACATGGGAGGTGACTTGGTTAGATGTATTATGAGTCTCCACAAACTTTCATTCCTTCAGTGTGTCTGTGTTTGAGTATAGAGGTCTGATGTCCTTAACACTGTGCTGAGTTTAATTAAAAGCATTTAAATATAAACTGTAACGAGCACTGATACACAGCAGAAAACATCTGTTTGTGTCAAACTGGCATCAGTAATGAGTGTGCCATTTGGTTAAATGCCTCGACTGTCTTATCATTTCTTCATGTCCTCTGCTCACATCGCCGGTGGGAGGGGCTGACACGAGGAGAGGCATGGCAGAGAGTAATCCACGATGTGCAAATTATGAAATGAGGAAGCAGAAAGTGGGGCTCTGCTCTGTGGACAAGAACTAGTGACTGGATCGTTGCTCATGGGGGAGGAGACCTATTATTTCATACTTGGGGAGGCTTGTGCCACCTCATGCCCTCCTTTCAGACACACCCCTGGTATTAAAAGCGAGCTCTCTATATAAACGATTTATTACACTTGCAACACTGACAGCTGCAATCACAACAGCTGATGAGTCATTTGTGTTACACTGCCCAGAAGACCATGCGCATGCGCAACTGTCTCACAGACGAGTCTGGTCGCAAGTTGGCTGTAGAACCATTTTTAAGGCGGTATCTGCCATTTGTTGGTATAACTCTGGGACGTGCTGGGACTCAAAAGTTGAATATCTCTCCTGCTGTTGACAATACCTGAAACACACACACTTCAGAAGAAAACAAGGAAAGGTGAGCATTATTGAGAAAATGAATCTTACGGCAACAAATGCTCTCTCTGCGAGTATCACTTCCTGTTCCTACAACACTGTGGTGTTTTTGTGGATCTTATCTGCATAGCCAATTTAATTAAAAACCTATAGATAACTTATTTCATATTGTAATCTTTAAAGTGTTTTATCCAAAGCACACTCTCTGTTGATTCACCTGCTAGTTATATTCACAGTATTTACTCACACTGTTCATGTGTCTAACCGTTTTTCCCCACTCGGCGACACACCCGCCGGGGGTCCAACTCTGGTAATTGGTGATTCTGTTCTCAGACATGTGAAGCTAGAGCCGGCAGCCATAGTCAATTGTCTTCCAGGGGCCAGAGCAGGCGACATTGAAGGAAATTTAAAACTGCTGGCTAAGGGTAAACGTAAATTCAGTAAGATCATAATTCACGTCGGCAGTAATGACACCCGGTTACGCCAATTGGAGGTCACTAAAATCAATATTGAATCGGTGTGTAACTTTGTAGTTTTCTCTGGTCCCCTCCCCAATCAGACCAGGGGTGACATGTTTAGCCGCATGTTCCACTAATTACAGTAATACTTAGGCTGCGTTCACACTGCAGGCGAAAGCGCATCAAATCCGACTTTTTTGACCCTGTGCGACCCATATCCGATCATGGTCTGACAGGGTGAACGGCACAAATCCGATATTTTCAAATCCGGTCTGGGTCACTTTCGTATGTGGTACTGAATCGATACATATCTGATGTTTCAGAAAGCTGCTGTTTGATGGTCACGTCGCATTAAATCCGTCTTTTACGTCACCGACACAAGACAGATGCCGATTATCTGCGCTGCAGAAGACATCGCGAACACTTCCTGGCCATCCAGTGTAGATGTCAGTGAAACTGTTGGGAAGACAACGTGAACATTTTATTTGTACTGTATAATCTGCAGCTATCCTTTGAAGCACCGCTCCTCTAAAACAGCAATAAGGATCATTATTAGGTTATTTACATTATTATGTAAATAACAAGGGCGTATTTGGTTTTGGCATTGGTGGGGAAGGATGATTCAACCATCGAACTCTGCCCTGTTTCTTTTTTCCCCCTTTTTGTTTTTGCTTCTTGATAACAAAAGGAGAAATATACTTGCCTACATATGCTATTCTACCTGCTTTTAAACCATTTAAAATTACAGTTCATAGTTTTATATGTGAATTATATGATGTTAAATTACTATTTAAAAAATGACTGACTAAGTATTTCAGGCTTTAGTTTACTTCAGCCATATTCCATATAAATCAGGTATCATACAAA